TATGCTCAATAATTTCTCTCTGAACGAAATTTCGTTGGAATTGATTCGTTTGATGTCAGCGTTGATAAAACAGATTGTTTTTACTTTATTCTTACTCCAGAAAGCATTCTCATTCGAATAGATTCAAACCGAACACATTTTCGTATGGAAAACATGTGACTGCAAATATGTGAAATTCATGAGATGTCTGCACTCACGTGTTCAGCACATGTAAATTTGTGCGGTGAGAACCTGTTCGAAAGGAATACCATAATTGTGTTCGGGGAGAACCTATTCGAAAGAGTGGTAATATAGCAGAAATGATCGTTAGCAGTCTTCCAAACTTGAAAATAAATGTCATTCCATATTGAATCCACACAATCAAATCAACCTACGACGACGGATAAATAGGCAAAGACGAAATCTAGGCAGAAAACTCATAAACAACTAATTGAAAAATAGTGCAATTGCATATGATAAATCAGGTGTTAATCATTAAGAGCAATAATAGTGTACTTGGTCGTGATGATGACGTTATACGGCCATTTGTGATAGAAATCAACAAACGGCACGTAATCGTCGCGAAAGAATCAATCCGGAAATTGCACACTGGGAAGAGTCAAAATAAAATTTCATCGCATTTCGATTTAATGTTGAATTAGATTGATTCTGAATGTGTCTTGTTCTCAGAATGATGGATTTTTGACATACGAATGTTGACATTCGCGATCATTCATTCGCAACAATTCACAGAACGAACGTTTCTTTCGAACTCGTATTCATTCGTCTGAAATGATTAAAAGGATTTTCGTGCCGAAAACTACGACTCACTGCTGTAATCAAAATGTTGCATTCAGCGTATTCACTGGATACGGTGATGTGGAAGTGCAAATATATCGCCGCACTTATACACAGCTTGAATTTCATACGTTGAACAACATGTCACGCACACAACAAAAACGAACGCATATTGGTTGAAAGTTGTGATTCGATGAATCGTCAACGGCAGCTGCTCTCAGCTGAATGGATCACAAAAGTGCATGAGACTATGATCTTGTGACGTTGCGATCAGCTCTGATATCGCATTAAAACATCATCTGAGTTAAGATTTTAATCCGAATTTGGGAAAAAAAACTGGGGATTACGCAATATTTTCAGGCGTTTCTTTTCGAAATCGCTTAATTGTGATCCAGTTTAGAGTGGGTCAATTAAATGAATAAAATTTGGCTGTGATATCAATGATGTCGTTTCAGCGATTCGTTGTCGCTTTTTNAGCGGATTTAAGCAAACTCAGTTAACATTCGTATGCAGAAAGCGATCAGTTTGGTATGCAAGCATTTTGTGAAGACTAACTTTTGCGCAATCAGCGATTCGTTCGGATTCCACTCTCTAAATCAGTGCTTCTCAACCTTTGTTGCTCCGTAGTCCCGCTAGAAAATCCGCACCCTCACTCACCCCCTCTCATCGCACCCTCTCTCGGACTCCCACGGGATCCATGGACCCCAGGATGAGAAACCCTGCTCTAAATTGTAACTTTTGGCAACTATAGAATAGTTTCAACTGCTTTCACGTGATCCTTTCCCATCAATATTTTCCTCCAGTTACAATCGGCAATTATTGTCAATCACTTTCGAGCACAACTTATCAAGTGCAACATTTTAAACCATAATATCAATTTGTGATGAATTGAATCGCTAATTGTTCTGCTCTGAACGCCGTTTTATTGCGTTTGACGAATACAAACGTCTGATCTTTGTTCCACCTGTGTTATGCAATGCAATAAT